CTGGCCCTCTCAGTGCAGGTGGGGCCCCCTCCCCAAGTCCCCCTGAGTCCCGCAGCAGGGGTTTGGGGAGGAGAACAGAGACCCGAAGGGAGACGAGTGGAGTCGAGGTTTGAGGGTGGACGCAACACCACGGTGTCCGTTTCCTTATTTCTGCCGTAACGTGGCCACCCGCTGCTGGGTGACTCGGAGCAAAATGGGTCTGTTTCCTACGGTTCCAGAGGCCAGGAGTCCAAAGTGAGCGTCAGGGGCCGAGACCCAGGTGTCGGCGGCGGAGCCAGTTCCTTCCAGAAGCTCCAGGAGGGAACGGCTCTGCCGTCTCCGGTGTCTGTGTCCATCGCCACCTCTGCCGCCCACTCCGATCGCCTGCCTGTCCTGTAAAAGGACCCTCGTGGTTACGATTCGGTGCCCCCAGATGAGCCACGGTGACCGCCCCCGCGGCGGCCGGGACACACCACAGCCGGACAGCTGCCGTGGAGACGGACGTCAGGAAGGCCCGCAGAGGGACGGGCCCGCCACAGGTCCCGAGGGCCTGCTGCTAGGTTGTCCCACAACACGTGGGGAGTGACGCCCTCTACGTGAGAAGCGCCTGGGGCTGCCTTCCCCCCGGGCTGACGGGAGGCCCCAGGCTCCCTGCCACGGGCTGGGGACACTGCGCTTTCCCTGTGCCCAGTACCCAGTCCTGTCCTGTCACCCCTGCAGCCCTGGAGTGACCCCGGGATGGACATCAGGAACCGTACCTCCTCATCCAGGCCTGGGCAGGCTCTGGCCCCCACCTGACGCCCCCACATGCCGCACCCTGTCACCCCGGAACTCTCCTGCAGCCCCTCCTCTCCTGCTCGTGGCCTTGCACGCTCACTGTCCCTTTGGCGTGCAATTCCCTCGCCCCCCCTTCCCATGGAGGTCTGGTGTCCCCTCTTCCAGGAAGACCTCTCTGATTTCACCTGCCCTCTGCAGTTCCTGCTACCCACTGCGTGCTCCCTGGGAGCTGCAGCCCTTGCCCATGACTGTCCCCCTGCCCAGGGCAGCTGCCTGACCTTTCCCCAGGCGGAGGGTGGGGGGGGCTTCCCTGCACAATGTGGGGCTGCAGGCCCACAGCCTCCCGCTTGCTCGGCCCTATTACCCCGCGTGCCACTGATGCTTCCCCTCACTTGCCCATCTTCTTGGAGCAACTGCAGGGTTTGCCGAACCTGGGAAGAAAGGGGAGAGCGCACCCTGCGCCCAGCGCAGACCCGGGGTTCTGGCGGTTTGTTAAATAATAGGGCGGTTTGGTCGTGTCGTGCAACGAGGCTCCAGGGGGAGGCAAGGGCCGGGCTGGAGCCGCAGGAGGAGCCGGGCCCTTCCAGGGTCGCCCCTGGGGGCTCCTTGAAGCCGAGGGAGCGGTGGGCTCACACCCACGCCTCCCACCCTGTGGCGGGATGCCATGAACAATGGCTGAAGGGCTGCTGTCTCCCTCGCTCCCTTCCCGAGCTGCGCGGGCAGCTGAGCTCGCGGCCCGGAGTCGCTGAGGGGTGCTGGGAAGCCCAGGGGAACCAGAGCCTGCCACCGGGAAGGGGCCGGGGGAGCAGAGGGGGAGGGGAGGCCGAGGGGAGGGCGAGAGCGGGGAGGAACGGCGTTTTACGGAGGAATCAGCCGAGCTGGGCAGCCTGAGGGCCCGGCAGGACGGGGCCGCCCCGGCTCCTCAGCGGGGAGCCTGGCTGCGTCCAGATGGGGCGGCCCTGCCTCGGGGGATGCTGGCTCCGGGGCGACCACGGCGAGCCAGGAGCGCAGGGTGGGCAGCCCACGACGCCCCTGTGCCCTGGGGGGTGAGGTCACAGCCCGCCACGGGGTCTGTGGGCGGTGCACGCCGCAGTCCACTGAATCGCAGCCAGAGACAGAGCGGAGCCAGGGTCCAAGAAACGTGATCTGCCCGTTGCTCTGGCCACGGCCGTCCTCAGCGTCCGGGGGGCAGGGGGCGGGCCGTGCGCGGTGCCGGTCGGCCCAGTGCAGGGAGTCGGCCTCCGGGGCCACCTGCCACCTGCCTCCTCCAGACCCGGCTCTGACAGGCGTCCTCACCGCCCCCGCCGCCCCCGGCAGCCCGGGGGAAGGCGCACTCTGCGCTTGAGGTTGCAGCGGGCTGGCAGCTGACCCCCGCCCCCAACCCCTGACCCCCGACATGCCGGGGCACCCCGGGACAGACAGGCTGTGCAGAGCCTGGGCCGGTGCAGCAGAGACCCCTGGAGAGGGCCGCCCCTCCCACGCTGCTCCCTCCCTCAGGCTTTCTTCTCTAAATAGACCGAAAACGCGGCGACGGTACGGACGAGCCAGGCCATGCATTATGCATGTCTGCGTTCCGAAGCCGACAAAGTGACTTTGAGTCTATAAATGGCGCCACAAACACGCATTCCATTAATTGTGCCCCCGGATGGCCTTCTCTTCCGCCGCCGCCTCTGGACGGCCCCGGCTGGGCCCGGCCTTCACCTCGGCCGGGCACGGGCCCACCCATCACCCCACGGTGGGGCGGGGGCCGGAGGGTCCGGGAGAGGCGGGGCCGGCCCCGACTCCGGCCTTCCCCAGGCCCACGGACGGACACCCCTCTGATGCGTGCGGCCGGCGTGCGGGGCCGGCGGAGGTCTGGTCCCCTCCCCCGAGACTCTCTTGCTGACCCCTCGCCCCTCCCCAAATATTCTGCACCCCGGTGTCTTACTCAGAACACTCTCGCTCATCCTCCGATCTGCTGGTGGACTCCTACACAGCCTTCGAAACCCAGCGCAGATGCCCCTTGTCTGGGAGAACTCCCGTCAGCGTACTGACGAGCGCCCACGTTAGCCAGACCTGACCTCCCCCTCCGAGCCAGAGGACAGCTTGGACTGCCCGACCGGCAGCAGCTCAGAGCTGGCAGGACGCAAGGGGGGCTGGGAGGGAGGGGGGTCTGCTGAGGAGGGTCGGCATGAGGCGATGTGGCGGGAGAGACTGCGGCCTGGGGGGAGGGGCCGCCGCGTTGAGGTGTACACGTGTGTGTGCACGTGTGAGTGAGCCCGGGCGTGAGAGCATGTGGGTGCCCGTGCCCGGCACCCCCACTGCCTGGGACAGCACCCCTGGCCCCCTGTCCTGGGGTCCCAGTGGGCGTCCAGCTTCCTTTACAGCCGCCTCCACCCACAGCGATTGTCAGGGGGGTGGGGGGCTCTGTGACCCGGCGAGGGGCAGTCGGCACTCACGGGGGTGGGGGACAGTGGGGCCGCCCCCCGTCCATGTGTCCTGTGAGCCGTGAAGCCCCCTTTGGGCCGCTTGGTCAGGTGGGTTTCTGTGGCCTGTCCCACGGGCCTCGTGCGGCCCGAGCACCTGCCGGCCCTGCTCCGGGCCCCCGAGGGCAGCGGGACATGTTGTGCAGGTGGCCAGACAGCTCGGGGGCCACCGAGAGCCCAGGAGCGGCTCTGCTCCCTGCCCCCAGGGCCCGGCCGCCAGGCCGGGCGGCACCTGCCTCTTGCCCGCCTCGCGCCCCCGTCTCCTCCCGAGGTGGCTCTCGCTCACACAGACCCGCGTGGGTCCTGGCCGCCCCCCCAAGTCCAGCAGACGGGAGCTCTCCTTCCGGGAGGGGTCCCGGCTTCCCAGCCCTGCTGGACCCTTCCTTCCTCTCCTCCGCACGCCACGCCCCAGTTAGCCCTGCGGGGGCGCGGCCGGGTCCCTGAGGGGACGAGTGTCTTCTCCAGGTGGCTTGTCCACCCCCCACCCCCGCCTGTGTCACAAAGGCCCGGGGTGTGGACACTTTCTGGGGGGCACCGGGCCTGGCTGTCTGTGGCCCCTGGGTCTCCGTCCCCACTGCAGTGGTTTTCCTCCATCAGTGACATTATTTCCCTGCTGAAAACGGCCCTCCTCCCCCTCCCCCACCCCCACCCCGCTGCGGGAGCCTCTGGTAAACCAGCCGCCCACACCTCCCAACTAAAGGCGGAGCCCCAGCGGCCGGGCTCAGCAGTGGGCCTGAGCCGTTCCCCAGGGAGCCCTCTGCAGCTGGAAAGGGAGGCATTCACAGAGGCCGGGGCCAGGCAGGGGCAGCGAGCGGGGCCGGGCGAGCCGGCAGGAGGACCCGACACCCTGTGGGCTCAGCAGCAGCCCTGGGTGGACCCCGGGGGAGGGCGGGGCTGTGGAGGAGGCTGCAGTCCTGCTCCAGGGCCCAGCCCAGCGGAGGGAGCTCCCCCGGTGAAGGGGAGCGCCAGGAGCAGGCTGCCCGCCGAGCCAGTGCCGTGGCGCCACCACGCACGCCGAAGCCCTCCCCCCAGGACTCTGCCGTCCAGGGAGGGCAGGGCCGCAGGGGCACCCTGCCCTGGCTGGCGGCCCCCTGAGCGTAACAGCCGCGAGGTCCTCGGACGCAGCCCCTGCCCCGTTCCGGGACGCAGGGGAGCCTGGCTCCACCCCCAGCAGACCCTGCCCCCCCCCCCCCACCAGCTGTTCTCCTCTCTCCAGTGTCCTGCGCCCACGGCGGTGTGCCGGCTTGGCTCAGCCGGGGACCCGGCCCGGCTGGGCTTCTGGGCGCTCCTGCCCCTGCGGCAGCAGCCTCGCCTGGTGCCTGCTGCTCGGGGGGCCGGGCCCTGTGCTGTCGCAGGTCCTGGGGTCAGAGGCACTGGGGCGTCTGAGCAGTTCCGAGTCTCCCAGGGCACACGGCCTGGGGGGTGGTGAGCGGTGAGCAGGGGGTCACAGCCCGGGGCCCAGGGCGCCCCAGAAGCTCCTCACCCTGCACCCCAGGCACGATCACCTGCCCCTGCCTCTGGGAGGCGTCTCTGGGACTGGCTCACCCTGGCCGAAGGGTGGGGACGTGACAGTGTGTGGGTGGCCACGGGCTCTGCCGACACTTGGTCCCTGCTCCTTCCCCTCCAGGCAGGAAAGGGTTGGAGGGCTGAGCCTCCAGCCTCACTTGTCCATTCACTCGGCCGTCCATGCAGGCGGTGAGGGTGGGCTCACTTGGACCCCTGCTGACGGTGGTGGTGAGGATGGTGGTGGTGATGGTGGTGATGAGGGAGATGATGATGATGGTGGTGAGGATGGTGGTGGTGGTGAGGGGGATGATGATGGTGGTGGTGAGGATGGTGGTGGTGGTGATGGTGGTGGTGGTGATGGTGGTGATGGTGGTGAGGATGGTGGCGGCGAGGGGGAAGGTGAAAGCTCGCATTCACTGATCTTACATAAACGGTGGCTTTAACACCTTCCCGCCCACGAAGTCGGCGAACCCTCATGGCGAGACGGAGGCCGGAACCCACAAGGTAGCGGGTGCAGAGCCCGGGATCCAGACAGCGCCTGCACGGCGTCCCGCGGCTGCTGGAGCTGCGCTCAGAGTCCGGACTCCGCGTGTCTGACCTCTGGGCAATGCCTGCTTTCCGGCAAGTCTGGCGGAACACCGCTGGCCCCTTCGGCTGCCGGTCAGCTCTCCAGTGTCCGCATGCCCCGCAGCCGCTGGTGCCACCTGGATCCTCCCTGCCAACGGCGGGGTCCAGCTTTGTGAGGCCTGCCCTTCCCCCCAAAACTGCCCCACTCCACCCTGACCTTCCCCGGCCCCCCAGGCTTCTGCGGTGGGGCACGGAGCGGGAGCACCTGGGACGCCGGCCACGTTTGCAAGCAAATTAGCGCAAAGTGCTAAGCGGGGGATTTACAGGTTGCTCACTGCCTGCAGCCTGTGAACTGCTTCACGAAAAAGTCTGAACTGAAACAACTGCAGTGTCAGGAAGGGGAAAAAAAGGGCAAGAAACCCAGTGAATCGTTATCCTTCCCTCCCTGTCATCCTGGTTTCTGTCTCCAGTGCTGCTCTGGGCAGAGGGGGAGGACGGGGTGGGGGGGAGTCCCAGCATCACCGCCGGGACCCTCCGTCCGTGGGCGGGGCCTCTGGCCTCATTCCGGAACCCGGACCCCCTCCCCGGAGGGGCCCACACGCCCATGCGTGGCCTCCTGAACTGGGTGCCTCGAAGAGGACACGTGGGTTCCATTCTGTGGCTGGTGACTCAGGAGAGACACCCGCAGTGCCCGCCAGCCCTGAGCGTCCAGGAGCCTCCAAACTTAGGTTCGGCCCAGAGAAGCCGAGCGACTTCCCCGGGGCCACACAGCAAGGCCGGTGCTGGAGCCCCGCGGGTGGGGCGTGCGGGCCGGGCTCCTTCTGGACGCAGCTCTGGGAGGGTTGCTGCGGCGGGCCGGCGGGGTTGGGGGCCGGTCAGCCGCGGTGACGGGGAGACCGGAGACCGGGCTGACTCCCAGGTTAGGGAGTGCGTGTGTGCCTGCCTGCCGGGGGCTTCGGAGGGTTAGCTCCGCAGCCCCCGGGGCTGGATAGTAACGCACCGAAGGAACGGAAACGGGAAGTGGCGTCACAGCCAGGGGTGCTGTCTGGCCGGGAGCCCCAGGCCCATGCACAGCCTGGCCAGCCGGCCGGGCAGCCTGAGGGGCAGCGGCGCCTGGGCCGAGCAGGTCTGGCCTGAGGCGTCCCCCGGGGAGCCGGCGGCCTGGCAGGTTGCTGGGGGAGACGGCCGCCAGCAGGCGGGGTCGGCCGACTCGGGCGGTCCCCCGGAATGCCCCGGTTTTCCCGGCCAGGGGCCGACGTCGGTCCACCGGGGAGGGCCGGGGGACGGAGGGGTGGACAGCAGCGGTGCTCGGGCATCACGTTCTGTGGCTCTGTCGGGGGCCTTTCCCCCAGAGGTGCTCGGAGCCCCAGAGGGTGGGGAGGACCAGACCGAACCACACCTGGCAGCACCAAAGGGACCTGGATTTCAACCTGGACCGTCAGCCACACTTCGCGAAGGAAGACAGGGAGCTTCTGCGAGGTGCAGGCCCTTGGCCAGATGGGGCCTGACCCCTCGCCGGCCGCGCTCCGGGGCCGAGGCCCCGCCCGGGAGAGTCCCGCTCAGCCAGCTCAGCACTAACGACAAAGCCCGGGCTGCCCGCCGTGCTCAGCCCTCGGGGAGAGCGGAGCCGGGCTGGAGGAGACGCTCAGCGTGAATGTAATTAATCACTTTTCAATTAGCATTCAGGTGCTTTGTTGAGGACGTGAAGCAGGTTGGTTCCAGGTTGCCGCGCCAGGGCCTTCGGACGCGTTTTTGTAAACGCCGAGAGCCGAAGTAGGCCGCGGCAGGGGGGCGGCCGCCCGGCGCGGGAGACGGCGTGAAGGGCGGGGGCGGGGCCTGACGGGAATGGGCGTGGCACCTGCGAGGAGGCGGGGCGCCTGGCGCGTCCCTCTGGCTCCGCCAGTGCTCCGGGCCCCGGGGACGTTCCGGGCAGGGACAGGGCTTCCTCCGCGGTAATCGGGGCGGCCGGGACTTCTGAACGGCTGTTCCGGGAGGCAGCTGGCTGTGCTGGCCGGGACGGCCGGGACCGCTGCCAGGCGCTGTGTGTGCGCCGCGCCGCGTCTCTGAGGCTTCACGCCAGCCCAGGGAGGGGCCTGGGGCTCCTTGTTACGGGGGACGCGGGAGTCGGAGCCAGGGCCCCTCCAGGGAGGGTGTCTGCTCCTCAGCGGGCAGGGGCAGAGGGAAGCGCCGGGCAGACCCCCGTCCCGGCTGGCGTGTGACCTTGGGCACATCCCGCAGTGCCTGTTTATGAAGAGGGGTGAGGCCCCCGGTGCACGCACGGAGAGCAACCCGAGGGGGCCTCCCGCGGGCGCCAGGCCCAGAGCGGGCTCCTGACCTGCCTCACACCTCTCCCCGCAGCGGAGGGCCCTGTCCCGGGTCCCCGCCGTGCTGCAGGGCCAGACCACCGCTCCGCGGGCAGCTTGTGCCCGGCCACATCCAGGATCCTCTTTGCCCTGCGGGCCTCCCCTCCAAACTTGGGGTTGGCTGTGGGCCTGCTCGCCTGGCAGCCACACCCCCACGGGAGCGGAGGGCACACGGCACCTGGAGACCCAGTCCGGCCCAGCACAGCCCGGCGGCCTCCCTGCACCGGAGCCGGCCGGCCGGGGGCCTCTGCCCATGGGTGGGCTATGGACTGAATCGCATCCCTTTCCAAAACCCAGACGTTGGGCTCTTAGCGCCCAGGACCTCGGAGCATGACTGCGTTTGGAAGTGGGGCCCTCGCGGGCGGGGTGAGGTTAGGTGAGCCCCGTGGGAGCGGGTGGCCCCGCCTGGGTGACCGGGGCCCTGGGCGAAGGGAAGTGTGGACGCAGGCACGCTCGCAGGGGGTGCACCCTGTGAACGAGGGGATCTGGGCGGTGGTCCTGCCCGCCGAGGGTGCCAGGGGCCGCCAGAGCTGGGGGCGGGGCCGGGCAGACCCTGCTGAGGCCCCCCCATCAGCCTTGGCTGGACCGGACCCTGCCGACACCTGGGTGCGGACTCTGGCCTCCGGGGCTGCGGGGCAGTCCATGTTTGTTCCAGTCGCCCAGTCGGGGAGTTCCGTCCCGGCCACCCCAGGAGGCTGTGGATGTGGGTGAGCCGACCCGTGGGAACTGGGGTCGGGGAGAAACCAGGCGGTCCAGCGCGGAAGTCCTGGACTGGGGCCAGATGGAGCTCCGGCCTGTCCGAGGCCTGGCCAGCAGAGGTGAACTGAGGCAGCACCACTGGGAGCAGGGGCTGCCATGGGGGGTGGGGTGGGCGGCCCCCGGAACCCAGCAGCCTGCGGGGGAGGCCCTCCTGTCCTCAGGACGGCGTTTGACCTTCGGTCCCATAACGCCCTTCATCGGAGCCTTCCAGAACCACGGAGGGGTCCGGAGTGGCCTTGCCTTCCCCAGCTCAGGCCGACAACGCTTCCTGCCAGTTTCCTCGTCGCCAGGAAGCAGTCTGTAAACAGCCCAGGAAACTTCAAGGTCTTTGTCTTCTTAGGAGGACTCATTATTCCCCACAGAGATTCTGCCTGGGGGGCCGGGCCGGTCCCCGAGGAGTGCTCCTCTGCCGGCGCCCTCCCGTCTTGATTATTAATTCTTTTATAAATAACTCGGTCTTCATCACGGCGGCGCACGCCTTGTGATAACTGTTCCATTATTTAGATGTCAGCGGCTCCACGCTAATTGCCAGTGCGGGCGGGGCCGTGGGCTCCAGGAGCGCTGGACTCTGCATCTGGTTCAAGGTGAGCGCGGCTGCCTGTCCTTCCTCCTCCCGCCCTGCTCCTGGCTCTCGGCCCCCCTGCAGCAGGCAGCACCCGGCGGGGCTGGGCAGGGCTGGCCGGGGGCTCAGCGACTCTGCCGGCCTCAGACAGGAGGAGACCTTCCCACTCAGCTCTGCGGAGACCCGGCGTCCTCTGGTTACAAGGACGGCCTTCTGCATGCAGAGTCCTAGACCTTGGCACGCAGGTCCGGGGGGCTCCATCGCAGGCCTCCAGTGGGGGTGTGGGGCCACCCGCCCTTGTCTCCAGCAGGTCCTAACTGGTCCCTGGCTCCATCCCCCCGTCCCCACTCCGGCCTCTCCAAACGGTCACCGGAGGGGCCCGACTGAAAGAGCCCTGTCCAGGGCGCCAGCCACGAGCCACACGTGTCTACTTAGACTGAAATGAATTCGTTTTGCAGTGGAATTAGAACAGGGAGGGAGGCCAGCGAGGCCTGTCTCCAGCTCCGAGCTCCTGTCTCGGGGCTGCACGGCCGGCAGCTCCTCCTCTGTCATTTTTCCTGTCACGTGGGCCCTGCTGGCCCTGTGCTGGGGGGAGGCTGGGGCTGCTGCACCCCGGGGTGGGTGGGGGTGGCGGCTGGAACAGCCCTCACCTCTGTGTCCCCGTGTGGAGGCTGAGGTCTCAGACCCAGAGGAGGGCGGGGCCGGTCCCTCCTGTGGCCTGGCTCCTGGGCGTGTGGACGCCACCCCCCCCCCCCCCCGCTGTGTCCTTGCATGGGGCCTGGGGCCTGACCTCCTCTCCAGGACCCCGTTGGAGGGGACCAGGGCCGCCGCGTGCCCTCACTCATCCTGAGCACCGATTTAAAGACCCTCGCTGCAAGTTCAGTCACGTGCGGAGGCCTCGGCAGCTGGGGCGTCGGCGGTCCAGCCCCCAGCAGCCCCACTGCCCCCTGGCAGGAGAGGGCAGTCTCAGCAGAACGGGAGCTGGGAGGAAGGACTGGGCATGGGTGTGACGGCCTCCCCGGCACGTCCCTGCACGGCCCCGAGCCTCAGTTTCCCCGCCTGTACCAGGGACAGGTCTCCGGCTGTCGCCGGCTTGTTCTGGAGATTGAACAAACAATGTGAGCTTGTGGGGCTTCTCCGGAGGGCCAGTGGGCCGACCTCCTCTCCCCCAGGGGCCAGGAGCAGCGCTGGCTGTATCCCGGGGCAGGGACCCCCCCGGGGCAAGGCCGGCAGGTCCTACCCTCCAGGGCTTACCAGCCCGTGAGTAACGGCAGGGTTGGGGGGTGGTCGGCGTTCTGGCCATCCTGTCTTCACAGCCTGTCACTTGGCGGGCCTACGGCCGGGTCCCAGCTGGGGACGGAAGAGTGCGTCCCAAGGAGAGGGTGAACCGGCCACTCTCTGTCCCCTCCGGTCCCCTGTGTCCAGGCCCGGCTGGCCTCCCTCTCCTGCACAGCTGCTCAGGCCTCGGCCCCTCCCCCACCCCACATCATTTACACACATTTGCATGCGTGTTTTCCCAGGCACCTGATTGTTTCAGGAGCCAGACACTTTGAATCCTAAATGTGTGCGCCTTCCCCGGGCTGTTACTGAGGAGGTCCATGAACCCCCCACCTGACGTCTCCCCGACAGCTCCGTCCTGACCCTCCACCCGCCCCTCCTGTCATTTAACTCCTGTTTGTCACTTGGCCAGGGAGGGCGGGGCTTCTGCTGCATTATTTTACTTCTCACTGAGCAGCCTCCCTCTGGGCGAGCCTGCTGGTGTTCCGGCCTCCCCTGGCCCCCCGGGGGAAGGGGCAGGGGCTTGACTGTGGATGGTGACACCTTGCTGTTCCCTGGGGTGGCTGGCGTCTGTCCAGGGAGAGCAGTGCTGAGGGCGCCCCCCAGGCTGTGGGCCGCTCTGCTGCCCACGACGAACCCCGAAGCTCGGAGAAGCTGCGGAGAGGGGGCACGGGGCCACCCCCACCCTGGAAACAAGGGGCTGCGGGGGGCTGCAGGGGGCCAGAGTGTCCATGGGATGTGTCTGTGGGACGTGCCCACGGGGCTGCGGCCACCAGGAGGGTCCTTGGAAGAGGCTGCTGGGCGGCCCCCCAGCTCCAGCGCCCGCCTGGCCCCTGTGGCTGACAGAGCGGCCTGCTCCGCGCCCCGAGTCCAAGTCCGAGGCCTTCACCACGGGCCCCTTCCTGCCCCCCGGGGCCCAGCACACCTGCTGCTTGCGCCTGGCTGTCCCTCCTCCGTGCCCTTGCATTCTCCCCTGGACTCGTGGGGGTGGGTCCGTTTCCCCATTTCACAGAGATGGAAACTGAGGCTCGGAGAAGCACCGGCTGGGAGGGCACCTGGCGGACCGGCCAGAGGTGGCGGGGACCCTGGGCTGCTGGCCCAGCGAAGACCCCGCCCACCAGGCACTGAGTTCCCTCTCATACATGTTGTTGCGTGTGTGAGTGTCGGTGGGTTTGAGGCCCGGGCGGGCCAGTGCCGATCTCGGGCTGTGGTCCAGGCCCTGCTCTGCTTGGCCCGGAGACCCCACGCCGGCCTGGCTGCAGGGACGTCTCCTTTCCCCTTCCTTCCTCTGTCCCTCGCCCCACAAGCACCCGCTGGGCCTCTGCTCCGGGGACACACCGAGCAGGGAGGAAGGGGGGCCGGGACCAGGCTCTGCCCTGGCAGGGGTGGCAGGCCGGGCCCGGACAGCTGCCACCACGTCAGGGGACAGGGTGGCAAGCAGGGCGCTGGGGACGGAGGAAGCACATACTGAGTGGCGGACTCCCGGAGCCGACGCCTCTGGCTCCGGAGGAGCTGACACATGGCCCTACCAAGTGCCTCCCCGATGGCGGCCCGGGCCAGACCTGACACTTGTCCCCTGCATCTGGCCGTATTTGCGCAAGATGGCCCGTCAGCTGGGGAAAACCCAACCACACAGGGACAGGGGCTCCGGGGGTGTCTCTCCTCCTGCGGGGGTGTGGGGGCGCAGGGGTGCGATCACCTGGAAGCTGGGGGTGGCAGGAGGGAGTGAGGGCGGGTGGGGGTGGGGACTCAACAACAAGCCGGGCCCCTGGAGGGGGGAGGGCCCGCCGAGGCCTCCTGGTCCCCGGTTCACGGCTCACTCACAGCCCTCACCACTTCCCAAAAATGGGTCTGCCCCCGGTCCTCACCTGCCGCCCAGGTGGGGCCTGCTGGAGGCGGGGCCAGGGGCGGTCCTGCTCTTGTCTCTCTCCCGCTCTGAGAAGCAGACCGGGCCGGGCACCTCCTCCCGCCTCAGAGCGTTGCCGCCAAGGGGTGGGTGGTGGGAGCCCAGCCGGGCGCCGGCGTGTCTCCCCTGCACCCTGCAAACCCAGCGGGTGCTGCCTGCGGGTCCGTGGACACTGAGGGGTGACGTGGTGATGTCCCCAGAACCTCCAGCGGTCGCCCCCACAAACAACGTGGCAGGAGGCCCCACGGCCGCCGTCGACCCGAGGGCTCCGGGCTGCACTCGCCGGAAGAAAATCAATGTTCCTCCTCAGTTCGGCTCCACAAACATTTTACTGAGCGCCTAGTGCGAGCCAGGCCCAGGCTGGGTGCGGGGGCCGCGTCCCGAGCTCTCGTCTCCCCGAGTCTGCTCCTCGCGCTGGGGACCGGGCAGCCCCGAGACGGCGTCGGGGGGCGGGGGGAGGGCGGTGTGCTGGGCGGGCTCCGCAGGGGGCGCCGCGGGTGGAGACGGGGAGGGGCGCAGCGGCTTGACTGGCGTCTGTTCCGTCCTGAGGACCCGCGGGTGTTCGTGACTCGGCCGAGTCTGTGCCGACGCACGCGGCCTGTTCTGACCCACTCGCCCGTTGAACGACTTCGTGTCCGGCCTCGCCGGATCCTCCCCTACTCTCAAGGCCGGCACGGCGGGCCCGGTCTCCTGCCGGCTCCGAGCACCGGCCCAGCGTGGTGGCGGGGGGGAAGGGGGGGGCGGGGTGAGCGGTACTCCGGGCCCTGGGCCCGGCGGCTGCAGGGGGCGGGGCGGGGGTCAGAGCCAGTGTGGACGCCGAAGGCTTCCCGGCCCATGGAGGGCACAGAGTGGTCCGTCCCCCCAGGGCTGGCCCCCAAACCCCTTCTGGGCGGCGGACGGAGGAGGCAGAGGCCCCCGTCTGAGCCACCCCACCCACCCTGCCGCACAGAGGGTGACAGCGCCACCCAAAAATGAGCAAATAAGGGAAACAGCGGTTATTCCCGATCGCGCGGCAGCCGGGACGCGGTGTCTCGCCACACGAGGGGCCGGGCCTGTCCCTGGCCGGGGGGAGGCGAGTTGGCCGCAGGCGACGCCCCGAGGACGGCAGACGGGGTCAGCGGATTGAAGGGTCAGCGGATTCCAGGGGCCGGCGTGGCTCCGGCCGGCGAGCAGGCGCCTCTGCGTCCCCTCCTGGGCACGGAGGCCTGTGGTCGCTAAGGGGCCGCATCCTTCCCGCCGCCCGGAGCTCCCCGGGTCGTGGCTCAGGCTGCGCCAGGCGCGGGGACAAGTCTCTGCTACGCCCGGCGCCTGCTCGCAGCTCCGCGCCCCCCGGAGCCCGGGCGGGGGGCGGGCGAAGCGGGTAAGACAGGGCCCCCGTTTCTGCGAACGATGACAGTTCCCTGTCAGCTCATCCTCCTGGACGGGCAGGCCCACGCGTGTGAGGAGCACGCTCTCGGTCAAGCCACACTTGGGGAGCCGTTTTCGGGGTCCCCCCTAGGATCCCACTCTCGTTTCCTCTCCGGCCGCTCCTCCCGTTCCAGCCCCTGCCCCTCCCCCGGCCACGTTCCCCAGGACCATTTACAGGCATTCTCTTCAACATCACCATCGTCATCATCATCATCAGTCACCCACATGAATCAGTGATGGCCTCTCCGGCCCACCCCCAGGCCCCCAGAGGCCCTGTGGGCCCCTCCTCCCAGCTGGTGGGCCTGGGCAGCAGGCTCGCACTCAGCTCAACCCGGTCCAGTCGCTCTGGCCCGCTGTGCCCGAGCTCAGCCCTGGCACAGCCGCCCCTGTCCCTGGGGCCGGGGCCGGGGGCAGGCACGCTGACTCGGTGCGGGCAGCTGCCCACAGAGGAGGTCCCGGCCGGTCTTGGGGAGGAGAGGAGCACAGAGGGCTAGGCCTGGCCTTGGGGGCCGCGGCCGTGGGGAGACCTGGCCGCGGGGAGACGGGGCCTCGGCAGGCCACTCGCAGAACATCTGCTCCCCGTCGCCGCAGGCCCACAGGCTCGCCGCCTCGCCGCCATGCCCAGGGCGCCGGCTGCGGGAGGGAGGCCAGCAGGGCCCAGAGCTCCGGCCTTGACCTCTGTCCCGGAGTGCTCTGTCCCTCTCCGACCCTGGCCGAGCTGGAGGTGGCAGCAGTCTCAGGGGAGCCGGGGCCAGGACCCCTTTTCTGCTGCCAGCTCAGGTCGCTGCCCTGAGGACCAATTAGACCGAAAGGGGCCCTCACCTCCGGGGAGTTAAGTGCCACTAAGAGGCGGTTGCTTGGAATGTGTAATTGCTGCTGCGGAGTGCTCGCCCGCTCCTGCCCTGAGCGAAACAGAGCGATTTCCATTTGAAAGGGGGGCCTGCCTTCCCCGAGCTCAGACACCTGCGGCCCTGGTCTCTGACCGGGCCAAGTGCGCCCCCCGATGCCCGGCCCCTGCGCTGCGGCTGCCCCAGGCTCTGTCCCTTGGGGAGACTGCCCCCCGTTCCTGGGCACCGGGGGGCCAGGACCACCCACACCCACACAGCCCTGCCAGCTCACTGACCTCCCCGCCACCGTGTTCGAGTGGCACACACAGTGGAGCTGTCTTCCCGGCACTGGGGACACGGAGGGATGAGGTGCCCCGTCCCTGACGGCTCGGTCTGGTCCCGCATCACGGCCACCCCGTGCGAAGGCCCTGAGGGGCTGTGCAGGGACGGGTGGGGGTCTGCTGGGGGCTCCCACAGCCCCCAGCCTCCCTGCTGCTGTGACGCCGCCCTCATCTCCGCCAGAGCCCCCAAGGGCAGGAGGGGGCTCCACAGACGTGGGGGGCGAGGGCTGGGTGGGCTTCAGCGTGGGGGTGCCCTGTGGAGCACATTTGAGCCAAATGGACTGGAGCCCATCTGCGTGCGTGATCTTGAATAACATCGCCAGCTGGTGTGGTAACAGGCTTGCGAGGGGAGGGCTTCCTGGAGGAGGAGGCTCACGGCTGACCCGGGGAGTGTTGCAAGAGGGAGAAATGGGCTTGCTCAGAGCCGGACGGGTGGGCCCTGCCCTCTCCCGGGGCCGGGACAGCGTGCACAGCTCCTCGAGGCCCCCCTCTGCGGCCGCGGCTCTTCCCCCGCCGCTCGCTCCAGCGGTGATGGGGGACAGCGCGCCCCTGGTCTCTGCAGCTGGGACCTCGGCCGGACCTCGCCCCCCCCTCGTTTCCCCCATCAGCCGCAGCAGCTCCTGGGGGGCCCAACTAGCGCCTCAGTCTCGGTGCTTCCCAAACAGCCCTGAGACGCGCCAGCTCTGGCCGGGCCGCTCTGCCCGCTCAGGGGACGGCTGCGCCTTTAGGTGACCGCTCTTCCCGTCCAGACCGCGCCCGGCCCTCCCGCCAACCCCCTGGGCCGGGTCCCGAGCCCCGCCCCCTGCCCTGGGCGGAGCCAGCGGGTTTCTGCTGGGGCCTCTGGTGGACCCTGTGTGCGCCTTGTCCCGGAGAGCTGTCCTCCCAGAGCCCTCCCCCCACTCGGGGCCCCCCAGGGCGCCCCACACTCGGGGGACAGCGCGCTCTCCGGGCCGGTCCCACCGGGCCTGTCCCACCGGGCCGCCGGTGCCTCCTGCCCTGCCCTCCCCCCTGCTCCCTCACAGCGGCGGGGGGAGGCCCGCTGGGGCCATGGGGAGTCCCCACTGTCCCCAACTGCCTGCGTGTGACAGTAAACACTGTTTGGATCCAGAGCAAATTGGCTCTAATTAGCCAGCCACCAGATTACAGCCTGGAGTTGCCAGGGGAAGGGACGCCCCCCCCCCCCCGCCCCGGGAGGGGTGGGGACCTAATTAGCACGGCCGCCAGGCCCTTCTTCCTCAGGCTCCCCCCCCCCCGGCCTCCCCTCCCAGGCCCCCTGCAGGAGAGCCCCCCCTGGGGGCCGCTGCTCAGACTGAAGACCCGTCTGCATAAACCCACAGGCTCCTCGTGGACCAGGACCTGGGTGTGTCTGGGGGATGGAGGGAGACAGCGGCTCCATTACGAGATAAGCCATCGTTGTCCCCTGGACAGCTGCCACGTGCCATCAACCCTGGGGGCATCTTCACTGCTGCTGTCCCCCCCATCACCATGGTTACCACCACCACCTCCACCCTCACCAGTTACCACCACCTCCACCATAACCATGGTTACCACCCTCCACCATCACCATTGCCTGGTTGCTGTCAACACGAACATCACCATGGTAACCGCCATCACTATCACCATGGTTACCACCACCTCCACCATAACCATGGTTACCACTCTCCGCCATCACCATGGTGTTCACCTCCATCGCCATGGTTACCACCACCACCACCTCCACTGTCACCATGGAAACCACCGCCACCTCCCCAGGCTGGCTATTCTCCACCTGGCCCTCCAGGGCCGCCGCCCTGTGGCCCGGGCCTTGGGAGGCTGGTCCTTAGGGAACGCGTCAGTGGGCTGCTTCCCCCTCGTCCCGGGGGTTCTGCCAGCGGGGGGGGGGGTTGAGGAGGAGGGGGAGAAGCCCTCCAGGAGCAGTGGGAGTGGAAGGCACCTGCGTGTGAAGGTGGAAGGAGGAGCCGGAGGGTGCGGATCCCGGCTGGAAGCCGCAGATAATTGCGGGCTCACATGAACGTGCCGGAGACGGCGCGGAGCGATCCCGCCCGCCCTGCGCCGCCTCCCGCGGGTAGCACCGCACCGAAGGCGCAATGCAGCCGCCGGGCAGGCCGCCCGCGCGGCGGCGTCCAGTGAGGGTCTCTCCCTGCTGCGGCCTGAGGGGCGGTGGGGGGAGGCCCCTCCCCGCTCCCCGCCTCCTGGAGGGTGGGGCCCAGACCTTCCGGGAGGTCAGAGGGCAGGTGACACCTCTGAGCCCGGCCCCGCCACGGCCCTCCTCCCTGTAACTCGGCGCCTCAGCCTCGGTGGAAGGACTCTGCTCAGGGGGCTGAGTCGGGCAGCGGCGAGGCCTCCGCCGCCACTCTCGGACTCGGACTCGGGCGGGGCGGGGCCCGGAGGCCTCGGCACTTCTTCCGTGTCCGCGGCCCCCAGGGCCGGCGGCTTCCCTGCTCCACGGGCCCTGTGGGAGCCCACTCACAGGCCCGCGCCCCGGGGGTAGCGGGGCCGCTGGTTTCGCTCCAGCCGCACCATGCGCCCGCGTGAACCTGCTAACCTGCTCGCCGGTGCACGAGCGAGTCCCCGGGAAGCGGAGCGTAAACACAGAGGGGGAGGGCCGAGAGGGGGGCGAGGCTGCCCGCTGAGTGCGGCGGCGCGGGAGACTGGGAATCACCTTCGCTGCAGCTGCTGCCCCGCCCCCTGCCTGTGTGTGTGTGTGTGGGGGGGCCCTGGGCGGGCCTGGGGTGTTCTGCAGTGGCTGCCCCCAGCCCGAGGCAGATGGGGGCAGGGGGTGGGGGAGGGGGCCTCAGCGCAGGGCCAGCCCCCACCAACCCCTCCTGTTATCCTGCTGCGTTTGCTGTGTCTCCGCTCGTCCCCCTGTGTCTCCGCCGGAAGGACAGAGCTGCAGGGCCGT